AAGGAGAGACACGCAGGATGATAGGAGTCAATCAAGGCCTTAATGCTATCGAGATTAGAACAAAAACCTCGACAGTTCCACTGTATCAAAGTGGCCATTTTTATGTAGGTTTAGAAGAACAAGGTGGAGAACCCTTCGGTTTACAACCATGCCATTTTTCTTTACTAGATAGAGGTCGATCGACCTCCAGGGATCCTGCCCTTGATCAAGCAAGCAGATCTCTGTCATAGTGAGAATCCAATGACTGAGGATGTGATTGAATAATCATCCTGCATTTAGGGGCCACAAAAGGAACCACATGGACACCAGAGGCTGGTGCCCCGAGGAGGTTGACCCAGGCAGTCACTGGAAGGAATAGTGGGAACAGAGATTGGAGTAGACGTAGACCTATCAACTTTATTATCCATGGAGGGCAGAAGACCTCTCACATGGCATAAAAAAAGACTCAGATGGAGGCATGGAAAGGTCTGTCTGCACTCCCACTGTAGCAGTGGAGCATAGTGCAGTGGCATATGTCTGAGATGGAGTAGGGAACAATAGCTTCCAAGCATCAGGATAAGAGATGTTATTAATTGTCTTCAAATGCTGTACCTCTTTCGCTTCCACCCACTTAGGGCAAGACCTAAAGTAAGAGGGGTGGGAACCACTACAATTAACACAGTGAGGGTCCAGTTTGCACTCGTAGGCGTCATAGTCCTTGCCACCACAACAAGCACACGTCACAGAACCACGACAAGATATCTTTGAGTGACCAAACTGCTGGCACTGAAAACATTGGAGAGGGTTGGGAATATAGGGCTGTACCTTACAGTTCAAATAACCTGCCTTAACAGCGATAGATGGACATGGTGATGAAAACGTCAAAATCAGAACTGAGGTCGGCACCATAATACCATCTTGACAAGTGGAGATCCTTCAAACTGCTGAAACTCCTTGGTTGGAGAAACCAGCAAGGATCTCTGACTCGGGGATAGACTTCAAGTCCCTCTCAAAAATAACTCATCATGATGAATTCAAGGAAGCATGGGGAGTAACCTCAATGGGTATATCTCCAATGGCCTTTGAATTCAAGAGGAGTTCACTGTGCTTAGCTGTGGATGTTTCAACCAAGATGTCTCCAGAATGGAGCTTCTTAACTGACTTTGGACAGCCAGCAAGCCCTCTAAGCCCTTCTGAATAAAAAAGGGAGACATTTGCCCTAAAGATTTATTGGACAGTGAATGCAGGATCAGGAAGCAAGGTACAGGTGTACTTTGTGATGGAGACTGCTGTTCAGTCTTCTAGGTGTGGTCGTTTACCAATTAGCAGGGTTTTAACATTTTTTTTATTTGGATTAAGTGGGGATCCATAATTAAGGAGAAAGATTCAGTGCCCACTGACCCCACCCGCCATGGATTCCCATGAGGAGATGCAATAATGTCAAACAAGGATACTGCAGCAATGCCAGGGTTTCGTGAGCACTATACCCAAACACCAGCATCAGACACGATGTCCATAACATCCATTGAGAATGCCCAACACTGGTACTCAGTTGACCTTGCCCGAGTGGACCAGCCAATTGACCCTGGGGGCCACCCATCTACAGGAATTCAAGGCCAAAGTGGTGTGTTGCAGTGCCCCAGACACCACTCAACCACCAGGATCCTCTCCTCCCCTTCACAGGTTGTCACGCACAACAAAAATATGGGTGGATGTTTAGATCCCAGAGGAAGTAACTGAAAATACAGAACCTTCCCTGGGAGGTCCCCTCACCACATACAGGAATCCACGTGGAGGGGCCTCTCAATGAAAATCTGAGTCAGTCAGGATAGGTGAGAAACAATGGTCACCTTCTTTACAGCTCATGTTTTAGGTAAGAAGGTTCTATCAGGATACAAGTATAAAATCTGATGAGAATATACGGTAGTTGATGCAACACGGCCATAGATACCTGACAAGTACAAAATATGTGATGAGAAACAATGATAAAGAAATTATTTTGCTAAAGGTTCAAAAGTACAAGTTAGGGGCTGTAACACTAAGTCCAAGTACCACTTTGGACAATGTCAAGGAATTCAGAAATATTATAGATGAAAAGCTTGGTACAGATCTATGAATAATAGGGACAACAGAGATAAATAATGTTCCAATGGGACTGATAAACAGCAACATGCAAATGAATGGGCTAACATCCAAGCCAACCAAGAAGAGAATACAAATGTGCTGACAAAGGTCTGAGCAACACCAAAGATAGAGACACCAAATGTCACTGTGAAAAATAATGATGGTAATGGAATCAGTTTCCTGTGAGAAAGAGAAAGTAATAGAGAAAACCAAAATAACACTGGCCAAAGTGGTGTGATGAGGAGAATCTGATACTTCATGAAACTTATCTCAAAAAAATTTACTTTAGAAAACTTGTGAGAGCAATCAGTCACTTAACAAGAATTTTGGAATTAAGCATGAAACAGAATGTGGAAATCATTTAAGTTAAACAACTTTGTGCAGATAATTAAAGCAGAAGGACAACATTTGTCAAAAGCAATGTCCAAGAAACGAGTTAACCCAAATAATTTCCACTTGCCTAATTGGGTTAGTATGTAATGAAAATTTGTTGTCTGAATTCTGGTTTTACTTATCTTGGATAATCAGACTGCTATTAATACCAAGCCCTTTAAGGGCTGCAAAAAACTACTGTCAAACTGAGAAAAAAAAAAGTTTGGAGATAGAGAACAACTATAGCTAAAAGCTATGTTGAACAATCCAGTCTCAAAATCAGATTCATCATCAACTGAAATGAGGAAAATTGCAAGTCCACCAAGGAAAAATCCACATAAATATTTCCCAATAAGAAATTTCTGGATTAAATTGTAGTCCAATGATCTAACTTAAAAAACCCATCAAAATATCCACAGCATGATGATAAACAGAATTAATGTGAAAAAAATGAATGTTAATTGCTGAAAGAATCAACAATATATCTAATATCAGGAAAATATAGGAAAAGAAATATTCTAAAACAGAATAATCTAATATAAGACTAGTCCCCTCAGCTATTACAGGAATAGGATCAAAATATAAATTAACATATACCTGAATGACATGCTGAGTCAAGTCAGCAGAAGTGTCATCAGAAAGAGGGTCACAGTTGATACGTTCTTCTCTTAAGAAAAAGAGGGTGAAGAGATCTGAACAAAAGATTGGCTAGTTCACAAGCAGGTAAGTAAGGGCAATTTTCATGAAATTGATATTGACTTGAGTAGGAAATCCCATCATGAAAACTGCAGGTAGCTTAGCATGCACAAACCAAATACGTTGATCAATAATGGCCAAAAAAAGCAGCCCATGAGATAACCTTGTAAACCCATAGTCTAATGCAGAACAATGCCTCAGTTAAAGGAAGAAAAACTTCTAAATTAGCAGAAGTGGTAACATGAAGGTTAATGGTAAATTCTAAATGAATTCATATCAGAGCTAACAATGTGAACAGCACACTTTCAACTAGAAAATTTGGCTTTGGGCTGCTGAAAGGTAGAACTTAAGTAGTCCCCAAACACATGTGCAAACAAATCATGTGGAAGTGGAAAACTATGGGTAGATATGACTTAAATACAATACTGCATCAAGGACATTAATAACTTTAGATTGTGTGACATTGATAGTGACTTCTACTTAACAAAAAGAGCCAAACTGTGATTCAGAGATAAGTATACCTGGTATGGAATTAGAAATACTTAAAAAAATTATTATTTAAAATAAAATTATCAGTGGTTTGAAATTATGGGTAAAAAAACGTTTTTACCACTAAACTAAGATTTAAGATTAGCATTTCACATCAAAGTTTTCTGTACTTTAATATTTTACAGTACTCAAGATTGAAATTCCATGTATTTAGTTCTAATCTCAAATACTTTTATGAATTTTCTTTTGAACTATAAGTTTTTACTTATTTATACACAGAAAATTTCTCAATGAAATAGCATATTTTAGCACTCTTACACTTTTGTTCAGTATTAGTTTTAATGACAATCTCAATAGTTTTTTTACTAGTAAAATAACTAAAAAATATTACAGTTAAAAAACATCAACTATGAGATTACAATGATAAAAATTATTTTATAGAAGTTGAACTGACAAAATTATGAAATAAATTGTAAGTTGTGGAGTAAACTGTTATAAACAGTATTTATTTAAATACCAGGAAATATGCAGCTGGTGGCAAGCTCATGTGGCCACCAGCTCAATAAAGTTTACATCAGAAAACAGTTAAACAACAGTCAAGAAATTATGATTCAAAATCTTTATGACATTTCATTACGAATACCAATAATTTTTGTTTACTTCCTCAAGTAAATATTTCTGTCATTACTTCATAAAACAACAAACAAGGAAGCTTTAAGCTTGTTTTATGTTTAACTCAAAGTGATTCATTCAAGTTGTTTAACTAACTAAGTATTGCTAGTTTTGGCTAACTCATTACCTTGGTCCAACAACAGTTTTTCAATTAAAATTTCCTGATGCAATCACACTACTTAGTTACAAGAATTTAGCTACACTGAGATAGGTCAGATCCTGTGCAGAAGATTATACATGTTGTCATTGTCCCATAAACATGAAATAATGCCGAAGGATGGACCTTGTTTGTGCGATGGATTAAATGTACATTGAGTTGTTAAGAAGTGCTTTACAACCAGTAACTAGTAGGATAATCCTTTAGCTCAGTTGGCATTGTAAAGGTCTCAGGTTTAACTTAACACATAAGTGATAATATAGAATATAATTAAGATAGTGTCAATAGTTTCAGGTTTGTCTTAAAAACCAAAATAAGCAAGATAATGCTATATAATTTTACTGGTATACAATTGTGGCACAGGAAATCTAATAAGGGTTTTAGATAAGACATTTTCAATCTATTATAGAAAATTCACACCGTTAAAGCAGAACACATAAAATTTACACTATTTGAAAATAACACAAAATAGTAAATACACACACACACATATATATATACATATACTTACTACTAGTTATTATAAAGCCATCTTCTTCTTTTTTCACAAATTGGATATCCAGCAAAGTGTCCTGCTCCTCATCAGAAAAAGGTTCAACCTTCATCTTTAATATTTCCATGGTTACATCAGAGCTTCACCTTTATATTCAGATCAGAGCTTATAGTTATATCACAAACAAGGTTAAGAAGTACAACTTGCATTATTCAGAAAGGTTACAAGGTCTCCAACAAATACTAATCTAAATATTCACATTATCTTGTTATGACTCAAGAGTATGATGTTACCACTTTGAGAAGTATACCTCAGATATATAATTATACTAAAACATAATATCCCATAACTACCGAAGTACTGAACTCTGTATCCTTATACCTTTTTCATGAAATTATTGATAATTTGAGTCTTTCATTAATTCATGATAGATATGCTATTATGCAATCATACACTCAAAAAAAAATTTGGTTGATTACAAAATGTTCAAAGAAGCATTGTTTCAAATAAAAATGACAAATTCTGTAACCTTCATTCTTTATCAATAAACAAAAAAACTTGTCATATTTTAACAAACACTATTATATCAAAATGTCAACCAGTCCATAGTTTTTCATAATATGGATAGAACAGGTAAATAGTAATATTATCCTTTTCAACTGTTTATATATGTATAAGAAATGTTTTGTTTGAAATGAAGATGTATTTAACTTGTTTTAATTTCAAATGAATGTTTTTTATCACATGTAAAAGAAACAGACATTAATGATTATCAACTTCATAAGTTTATGAACTTAGTCCTTAGAAAACTGTGCTTGCTAAAGCTAAACTTTACTAATTTCTCTATACCTCATTAGTTCTAAAAACAGTACATAAAATATTACAACTAAAAAACGCAAAAGAGAAACTACATGCAGCACATAATAAAAAAAAAAGATATCCACTAGCACTGTAACCAGAGCCAATACTCTACAGAGGAGAAACCACTTTGTGGTTCTTGCTCCTCAAAAAACTCGTTTTACTTCCAGTAGGTGATAAACAATGTAAAAAATAAATAAACACGTGCAACGAGTGTCACAACAGCCTGAAGGTAAACATTTGGGATGAAAAGCTATATTTTAAGAAACACCTGACAAAAGAAATATATTCTTGTACTATTTCCTGCACATCAACAAAAGTTCGTTTCTCGTCCTTTGATTTAGAAATTCTTACAGTATTGATTTTATGTACTGTAATTTGTAAATCAATGTGATTGTACCAAACTGAGATAATGCATATTTTTTATCTGTTAAAACTTATCAACTGATCCTTATCTCAGAAAATATTTTCGATTGTTATGACTTATACTGCTATAACGAGTTCTGTTGTTTTGCATTGCTTTTTCTATTATTATTTAGTAAAAATTATGTGAGATCAAGTCCACGCAACAACAAAAAAAATTATGTATTTCTTTAACGTCTGCTACTCCTAGTACTACAGTTATTTTCACTTGTAGTTGTACTGTTGTAAGCCTAACTTTAAATAGAAAACTTTCCAACTGAAACTATTGCAGGGCTAATTCACTAATAGCATTTAATAGAAATTTCATTTTTTAATAACTAACTTGCTGATTAAATTTAGTTAATCAATCTTCTATCTACCGTTCAAACACTGAATACTTCACTTTGGCAAAAACCACTAACTCGGTACTTACCGGCATACACAACCAATGTTAGTCGAAATTTGTCAATATTTATGTCACACGTCCTCTAGCGAACAAGTGAATTAAAATATTTAAAATAGAGTTTACAATGCTGCCCCCCTTTCTAGAATGTAAAGTTCGTTGAACTATCCTAATACAAAAATAAAATGCTGTACTAGACTACCCATTCACATTTTCACGAAAATAACCCGCTCCTTCGTATACCCCACACCTGTAGAAAAACTGCTTATAACTTCATATGTTTACGTGTTGAGCGAACCGCGCATAATCGAATTTTTTGTGTTCGGCAGATAATTGGTTGCTATTATTTTTGCGTGTGTAAGTGAATCCCTGTTGGACAAACCCACGTTGTAGGAGAGTTTACTTTATACAATAATCCTAGATGACCTTAATTCAAAACACACAGATTTTCATTGCTGTACAACCAGCACCAATGAAAAAAATCCTGCAAGCCCTAATCGAAAACAACAACCTAATGATAATCAATGACGCCACTCTAACACATATTTAATAATATAATCAATAATCATTCATTCCACATACTTCTAACTTCAGTGTTCAAGAAAACATAGACAGTGACCATGATACCATATCCTTTGATTTAAATATTAATCCACGCAACAACAACTCAACACCACTTCTCACAGTATATTGTTATGTATCTGCTAGTTTGTTAATTTCCGGTAGAAATTATTTCCGATGAACTTCAGCGATACAAGTCCTTTCTTAATTAAATCAGTTTATTCTTCCTCAATACAAACTTCTAGTACACAGTAGTTTCAAAATCAGTACGTTTCTCGTCCCCTTAAACTTAACAACTTTTATAATACACGCTATAAATCACAGCGATTCAACATCTCGATAACTTCACTCTCTACGAGTGCAAAACACACATTAGCTCGAAACAGAAATGTAAATTACCCGGAACCCTCTTCATTCATTCCAGCAGGCTTTTCTGCCATGCTTATATACTAACAAAGAGGCATCTCCAACATTCGAAAAACGCGCCAGCAGCGTCACGTGACTTTCGCTGTTGTAACACTGCCCCTTCCTTAGTATTGTTCGTCCTGAACAATAGCCACTTACATTTAACCAATAGATAATTAACAATAACTTATTTAAATGTACAGAATTTACAAACACAAAATTAAAATACAACAAAGTCTCTTGATTTTACAGGACATTTCTTCTTTCGTATTGGTCTCCGTCTCATTAGCTTCTGGTTCACGTGGGATTCATCTGCTCCATCAGAAAATATCCCATTATCAGTAGCAGCCACATTAGTGGTAGTAACTTCATTAATGGCTACACTGTTTTCCCTTACCAAAACAGGGTAGAGTTTCTTCTTCAGCAGCGTCGTTTGTTCTGTTGTTCATTTCGTTCCAACTGTAATGTCCTGGACCGTGATAACGCCAAAACCTGTTGGCATGCACCACCTTTGGCTTACCTCGTCGGCCACATTTTATTCGGAAAGTAACATCTGAGAGACGATCCACTATGTCATATGGGCCTTCCCATGGAGAAGACAACTTAGAAAACTTCCTTTCGGTCTTCCTGGGATTATACAACCATACCTTGTCTCCTGGTACAAAGCTGATTTCAGTAGAACTCTTATCATAAAATAGCTTCATGGAATCAACAGACGTTTTCAAGTTTGAATACACTTGATGGTGAATATCATCCATCCTTTCAGATAACACTTTCACGAACTCTGGCACATTTTCAGGCAACTCTTCGTAAGGTGGGCATCATGTTATCAGGTCCACTGGCAACCAAAGTTCCCGACCAAACACCAGCTTTGCCGGAGTGTATCCAGTGGCTTCATGCTCTGCTGTTCTATAAACCATCAACAGTGGAGGGTGTAAGACATCCCAGTCATCTTGGCGGCTATTACAAAACTTTGCCAATTCCTGTCCCAGTGTCCAATTGTACTTTTCTACCATTCCATCAGACTGTCGGTGAAGTAGCGTTGTCCTCGTCTTTCATATCCCAAACAACTTGCAGCATTCATGGAACACAGCTGATTCAAAGTTACGGCCTTGAAAGCAGTTCTTATGGCATGCCAAACCTGAAGAAGAAATCACTAATAGCTGTAGCTTCCTGATTTGGTATTGCATATGCCTCAGGCCACTTGGTGAAATAATCCATCACCACACAAATGTACTTTATGCTTGGGTCCCCTTTTAGCACAACATG